ATAGAAATGACGGGGACCACAACGGGGTGCTCAACTATACAGAACTCGAGACAATGTTCAAGGTAAGTCATTTGATCGTCAGGGGAAGGGCGGCGTGGTCGCAAAGACAATCTGATGCAGATTTTTTGCGTGGTATGTATCACATAATGTTGGGTACTTGATTTCCCCACCTTGCTGTGTATCTGTCCAGCTAACTAAGGTATGCTGTGTATCTGTCCAGCTAACTAAGGTATGCTGTGTATCTGTCCAGCTAACTAAGGTATGCTGTGTATCTGTCCAGCTAACTAAGGTATGCTGGGTACTTGACTTCCCAACCTTGCTGTGTATCTGTCCTGCTAACCAACCTAGATATGATGAGTACCTTACAATCTGCACTTACCTCTGACAATTACCCAAAATCTCTTATTTCCAAATGTATAACTCAAATGTTGCAAAAAAATTATCATTTTCCAAATGTGCACTCAAAATATTACTTCAAACAAATTCTAATTCTCAAAATATGTATGTTAATAATAGATCTGGTAAGTAGGTCACCAACCAGTTCTACGGCTCAATAACAAATCAGCATGAGAAATATGACTGGTTCGTGACCTACTTACCAGCCCTAGTTCCCAAACGTGTCTTTGAATCTATCAGGCAAAAATAAATGTTTGGAATATTTGAAACAGAATCGTGACGAAAACCACGATGGTAAGGTCACGCGCGTGGAACATAAGCACTACGTCATCAATGTGAAAAATGATACGGAAAAAGATGAAGAAATACTATGGACAGCATACGATAATGACGATGACGGTGTTATCACTAACGACGATTTCCATGCAATACATCATCAAATGGGATCGGACGATGCTGGGAATGTCAGCTATCTTAATTTTGAAGAGTAATCGATTTTATATATATTCATATAATTCTGTGAAGTAAAATCCAATATAAAGCTATATTCCATTTTTTTCTTTTCTAGAAAAACTTAAGAAATGTGACCCATTTCTATCTTTTTGTATACTATTAAAAAAAAACTTATTTGTTAATTAAATACAATAAATAAAATAAAATGACTAAGTTAAAAAACAAATGGAACCGTACGCAAAAATCATTTGCGTGTGTAATGTTTGTTAAAAGTCAAATTCTAACCGTTTAACGGTGCCAGGCTCCTAACCGTAACCTGATAATTCTGTTCTGCGACGCTCCTCAGGTGGTTTGACGTTAACTTCTTCTCGAAGGCCCCATACACAACGGAATCCGGTCCAGCGGCGACAACCAAGAAAGGGGAAACTACCAAGAAAGGGGAAACTACCAAGAAAGGGGAAACTACCAAGAAAGGGGAAACTACCAAGAAAGGGGAAACTACCAAGAAAGGGGAAACTACCAAGAAAGGGGAAACTACCAAGAAAGCCACGGCAGCCACGACCAAAGTTAAAGGCTAATGACAGCTTGCCCACGGTTACAGCAGATAGGCTGCTATGTAGTGGAGAGAAACCAAAAATAACAGAAGATTGTTATAACCTAAATAAAGCTTACGTTTAAAAAAGTCAAAGTGTTTTTTTTACAAATTAATATTTTTTTGGGTTATGTTTATTGTATTACAATTAATTTTAGCTTAACCTTTAGCCTTAATAACTGCACGCTGAGTATCTGTTATACAATAACAAAGAAAAAAACATTCTACAATGGGGGATTGTGGGGTCGTTTGTAAACGAAGTTCTAGTATATGATATAAAGATTTAGAAAAGCTAAGTTTAATGAAAATAAAACTTTGCGAGAGTGTTCGATTTCGTTAACTTTCATGGTAGTGTTGGCCATCTTGTGACGATACGGAGTAAGTTTTGGCCATTTTGTGACGACGTGTAACGATATGGAGGAAGTGTTGGCCATGTTGTGACGATATGGAGGTAGTGTTGGCCATCGTGTGATGATATGTAGGTAGTCTTGGCCATCTTGTGACGACGTGTAACGATATGGAGGAAGTGTTGGCCATCTTGTAACGATATGGAGGAAGTGTTGGCCATCTTGTAACGATATGGAGGAAGTGTTGCCCATGTTGTGACGATATGGAGGTAGTGTTGGCCATCTTGTGACGACGTGTAACGATATGGAGGAAGTGTTGGCCATCTTGTAACGATAGGGCGGTAGTGTTGGCCATCTTGTGACGATAGGGAGGTAGTGTTGGCCATCTTGTGACGACGTGTAACGATATGGAGGAAGTGTTGGCCATCTTGTAACGATAGGGCGGTAGTGTTGGCCATCTTGTGACGATAGGGAGGTAGTGTTGGCCATCTTGTGACGATAGGGAGGTAGTGTTGGCCATCTTGTGACGATAGGGCGGTAGTGTTGGCCATCTTGTGACGATAGGGAGGTAGTGTTGGCCATCTTGTGACGATAGGGCGGTAGTGTTGGCCATCTTGTGACGATAGGGAGGTAGTGTTGGCCATCTTGTGACGATAGGGCGGTAGTGTTGGCCATCTTGTGACGATAGGGAGGTAGTGTTGGCCATCTTGTGACGATAGGGCGGTAGTGTTGGCCATCTTGTGACGATAGGGAGGTAGTGTTGGCCATCTTGTGACGATAGGGCGGTAGTGTTGGCCATCTTGTGACGATAGGGAGGTAGTGTTGGCCATCTTGTGACGATATTGAGGTAGTGTTGGCCATCTTGTGACGATATGGAGGAAGTGTTGGCCATCTTGTGACGATATGGAGGTAGTGTTGGCCATCTTGTGACGATATTGAGGTATTGTTGGCCATCTTGTGACGACGTGTGACAGTAAGAGTGAGATGTTGGCCATCTTGTGACGACATGTGACAGTAAGAGTGAGATGTTGGCCATCTTGTGACGATATGGAGGAATTGTTGGCCATCTTGTGACGATATTGAGGTAGTGTTGGCCATCTTGTGACGATATGGAGGAAGTGTTGGCCATCTTGTGACGATATGGAGGTAGTGTTGGCCATCCTGTGACGATATTGAGGTATTGTTGGCCATCTTGTGACGACGTGTGACAGTAAGAGTGAGATGTTGGCCATCTTGTGACGACATGTGACAGTAAGAGTGAGATGTTGGCCATCTTGTGACGATAGGGCGTTAGTGTTGGCCATCTGGTGACGATAGGGCGGTAGTGTTGGCCATCTTGTGACGATAGGGAGGTAGTGTTGGCCATCTTGTGACGATAGGGAGATAGTGTTGGCCATCTTGTGACGATAGGGAGGTAGTGTTGGCCATCTTGTGACGATAGGGAGGTAGTGTTGGCCATCTTGTGACGATAGGGAGGTAGTGTTGGCCATCGTGTGACGATAGGGCGGTAGTGTTGGCCATCTTGTGACGATAGGGAGGTAGTGTTGGCCATCATGTGACGATAGGGAGGTAGAGTTGGCCATCGTGTGACGATAGGGCGGTAGTGTTGGCCATCGTGTGACGACGTGTGACGATAAGGACAAAATGTGGCAACTTATGTTATTAAAACAGCTGGACTTGGCCTTTGAGCAGCCATCCAGCCAGCTTGATGGTCGTGCGTGGAAAGTAATTCATGTTGACATCAGCGGGTTTTGCAGCTGGCCTTTGTTAAACCGGTCTAAAACAAGCGAGTGAATTTATATATGTCTGAATATATCCACAAGAAATGGGGAAAAACTGTTTCATAAGCATCTTCGTGCATTCACTCGTGCACCAAAACATTGTTTCATTAGCGTCATCGTGCATTCACTCGTGCACCAAAACATTGTTTCATTAGCGCATCGTGCATTCACTCGTGCACCAGACCTTTGCACCAGGAAGTTCTGCAGGTGAACACAACAAAAATGGTGCCAGACACACCGGAAGCGTTGAGGCCTACCAAACGTTTGGCTGCTGAACTGTGCTGTTAGGGATATAATTTGACCCAGGCCGAAGAGAAACGTTGTTACTTTGAGGTAATCGTGAACAGAGGTTGTTACTGTGAGGTAATCGTGAACAGAGGTTGTTACTGTGAGGTAATCGTGAACAGAGGTTGTTACTTTGAGGTAATCGTGAACAGAGGTTGTTACTGTGAGGTAATCGTGAACAGAGAAATCTGGGGGACTGCTGGTGGGGCGGGAGTGCACAGGAGTACTAACTCCTAAAGTCCCGAGTTCGAATCTCTGTCAAATAAGGCTTTGTAGCAGGGCATGGAATAAACCAATAATACTTAGATCTAGAATAGTCTTAACATTTTTTGAAAAGGCCCATTACATATTTTAAAAATATGTACGCTGTTATTAAAAGAAATATAGTTATAAACACAGATCAAGATCTAATGTCTGCTTGTATTGCAGGAAACCCCTTCTATTTTTAGATCTTCTAAAACGAAGAAGAAAGAAAGAAAAATTATATATATATATATATATATATATATATATATATATATACATATATATATATATATAATTATTTATTTATTTATTTATGCCATATATTCCATTATATAACAAACAATCAATTCATAGTATAAAATAATAATTGTGATAATTGATCGTCCACACCTCACACAGAATAGCTGAATGAATCCTGATTTAATGGAAGTTGATCACTCAAATGATGATCACACACTTGCCACACAACACCGTCACACAACATCACCACATAACATCAGACCACGAAACATCACCCAACAATATCACCATAAAACATCAGACACACAACATCAAGACACAACATCACAACATATCATCACCACACGTCACTACAAAACATCACCACACCACAGCATCAAATAAAATCATCTTCCCCAACATCATCACCACACAGCATCAACCGCACATCACGCCACATCATCACCACATAGCATCAATACACAACATCACCACAAAACGTAACCTCCACAACATCACCACACAGAATCAACACAACATCACGCTACATCATCACCACATAGCATCAATACACAACATCACCACAAAACGTAACCTCCACAATATCACCACACAGCATCAACCACACATCACGCCACATCATCACCACATAGCATCAATACACAACATCACCACAAAACGTCACCTCCTCAACATCACCACACAGCATCAACCGCACATCACGCCACAACATCACCACATAGCATCAATACACAACATCACCACAAAACGTAACCTCCACAACATCACCACACAGAATCAACACAACATCACGCTACATCATCACCACATAGCATCAATACACAACATCACCACAAAACGTAACCTCCACAACATCACCACACAGCAGCAACCACACATCACGCCACAACATCACCACATAGCATCAATACACAACATCACCACAAAACGTAACCTCCACAACATCACCACACAGAATCAACACAACATCACGCCACATCATCACCACATAGCATCAATACACAACATCACCACAAAACGTCACCTCCACAACATCACCACACAGCAGCAACCACACATCACGCCACAACATCACCACATAGCATCAATACACAACATCACCACAAAACGTAACCTCCACAACATCACCACACAGCATCAACCACACATCACGCCACAACATCACCACATAGCATCAATACACAACATCACCACAAAACGTAACCTCCACAACATCACCACACAGCATCAACCACACATCACGCCACATCATCACCACATAGCATCAATACACAACATCACCACAAAACGTAACCTCCACAACATCACCACACAGCATCAATACACAACATCAACATTCAACTTCACATCACAATTTCACCCCCACAACATCACCACACAGCATCAACCCTACATCACGCCACATCATCACCACACATGTCGATTCCCCCTCCACAGATGATGTATGCATACACTGAACGAGTCGTGTTCTGGGTGCTGACGTTTTGTCTAGGCCACGTCACAGACGGTACGTACAGGTATGCGCTCTCTGCCGTCCGGTGCAGAGCAGCTTTCAGTCATCTCTCTGGGAGGTGGAGGGGCTATTCCCCCCACTCTCACACACACACATATATATATATATATATTATATAATATATATATATATATATATATATATATATATATATATTTATATATATATATATATATATATATATATATATATATATATATATATATATATATATATATATATGTATTATATACATTAAAATATATACTTCAATAAGTGGTTGCCTTCTTTTGCCAGATATTTAAAGACGCCCCCATGTTTCTACGCCTTCGAGAGTAACGTCTATATGAAATGATTAGTAGTTTCCCCTCACATAGAGATGATCTATTAATATCAGTGTATCTTTCACACAGTTTACTCTGCGATGGGGGAGGGGGAGGGATATATATATATATATATATATATATATATATATATATATATATATACATATATATATATATATATAATTGTTATATATATATATATACTTGTTATATATATATATATATATATATATATATATATATATATATATCACCAATCATATGTAAGTATCGAATGTACTAACACTATACTCTATGTGAAATCTGGTTTGTGGTGAAGCAGTAATTGATCCGCGACTCGGGGGTTATGATCAGCGCGGGGGAGGTGAAGGGGGGGGGGGGGGTAATCTCTATCGCATACATAAAGGTAGACACATTTATGTTGACCTTGATTGAAATACTTGCCTGACCTTCGACTGACCAGTGTTAGATAAACAAGCTGTACCACGTGTTGCAGGCTATAACCTACCCATGGGGAACCTCTATGTGCTGGCGTTCCCCCGGATTCCAGAGTTGAGGCCAGACCAGGCATTCGGTCAGCCCGGTCTCACCTTCAACATGCACACAATGTCCAGAACCGAAATCAAGGTGAGCTCAGCTTGTAATAGGTTACAGGTTATGGGTTTGGGTTATCTGTTATAGGGTTATAGCGTTAGGTTAGGCTTCGTTAGGTTTATGGTTTGGCGAAGGTACAAGTTTTAATGTTCAAGGTTGTAGTTATTTTACGTAATGTTATGTATTGTTTACGTTTCGCGTTACATTATGTTCTGTAAGGTTTCGGTTTCAAGAAAAATTTCTTCTCCTAGATTCGTCTGACGGTCCAACAATATAATCAGCCAAATTTGCTTGATGAGGAACTAGCGGCAGCATTCCTACACCCTGTTACACATAGTGTGGATAGCAGATTTGGGTGTATATATATAGAAATAGTTTGATCTATTTTTATCCATTATATATATATATATATATATATATATATATATATATATATATATATATATATATATATATATATATATATATATGTGTGTGTGTGTGTGTGTGTGTGTATAGAAAGAGAGATAAAGTTTACTCTGAATGTGTGTTAAATATTTTGTTCCAATACTGTGGTCTCTATCTTGTGGTCCACTACTGTGGTCTTTGTCTTGTGGTCCACTACTGTGGTCTCTGTCTTGTGGTCAACAACTGTGGTCAGTGTCTTGTGGTCAACAACTGTGGTCTTTGTCTTGTGGTCCACTACTGTGGTCTGTGTCTTGTGGTCCACTACTGTGGTCTGTGTCTTGTGGTCCACTACTGTGGTCTGTGTCTTGTGGTCCACTACTGTGGTCTGTGTCTTGTGGTCCACTACTGTGGTCTGTGTCTTGTGGTCAACAACTGTGGTCTGTGTCTTGTGGTCCACTACTGTGGTCTGTGTCTTGTGGTCCACTACTGTGGTCTGTGTCTTGTGGTCAACAACTGTTGTCTGTGTCTTGTGGTCAACAACTGTGGTCTGTGTCTTGTGGTCAACAACTGTGGTCCGTGTCTTGTGGTCAACAACTGTGGTCTGTGTCTTGTGGTCAACAACTGTGGTCTGTGTCTAGTGGTCAACAACTGTGGTCTGTGTCTTGTGGTCAACAACTGTGTTCTGTGTTTTGTAGTCCAATACTGTGGTCTGTGTCTTGTGGTCAACAACTGTGTTCTGTGTTTTGTAGTCCAATACTGTGGTCTGTGGCTTGTGGTCAACAACGGTGGTCTGTGTCTTGTGGTCAACAACTGTGATCTGTGTCTTGTGGTCAACAACTGTGTTCTGTGTTTTGTAGTCCAATACTGTGGTCTGTGACTTGTGGTCCACTACTGTGGTCTGTGTTTTGTGGTCCGAAACTGTGGTCTGTGTCTTGTGGTCAACAACTGTGGTCTGTGTCTTGTGGTCAACAACTGTGGTCTGTGTCTTGTGGTCCACTACTGTGGTCTGTGTCTTGTGGTCCACTACTGTGGTCTGTGTCTTGTGGTCCACTACTGTGGTCTGTGTCTTGTGGTCCACTACTGTGGTCTGTGTCTTGTGGTCCACTACTGTGGTCTGTGTCTTGTGGTCAACAACTGTGGTCTGTGTCTTGTGGTCAATAACTGTGGTCTGTGTCTTGTGGTCAACAACTGTGTTCTGTGTTTTGTAGTCCAATACTGTGGTCTGTGTCTTGTGGTCCACTACTGTGGTCTGTGTTTTGTGGTCCGATACTGTGGTCTGTGTCTTGTGGTCAACAACTGTGGTCTGTGTCTTGTGGTCAACAACTGTGGTCTGTGTCTTGTGGTCCACTACTGTGGTCTGTGTCTTGTGGTCCACTACTGTGGTCTGTGTCTTGTGGTCCACTACTGTGGTCTGTGTCTTGTGGTCCACTACTGTTGTCTGTGTCTTGTGGTCAACAACTGTGGTCTGTGTCTTGTGGTCAACAACTGTGGTCTGTGTCTTGTGGTCAACAACTGTGTTCTGTGTTTTGTAGTCCAATACTGTGGTGTGTGTCTTGTGGTCCACTACTGTGGTCTGTGTTTTGTGGTCCGATACTGTGGTCTGTGTCTTGTGGTCAACAACTGTGGTCTGTGTCTTGTGGTCAACAACTGTGGTCTGTGTCTTGTGGTCCACTACTGTGGTCTGTGTCTTGTGGTCCACTACTGTGGTCTGTGTCTTGTGGTCCACTACTGTGGTCTGTGTCTTGTGGTCCACTACTGTTGTCTGTGTCTTGTGGTCAACAACTGTGGTCTGTGTCTTGTGGTCAACAACTGTGGTCTGTGTCTTGTGGTCAACAACTGTGTTCTGTGTTTTGTAGTCCAATACTGTGGTCTGTGTCTTGTGGTCCACTACTGTGGTCTGTGTTTTGTGGTCCGATACTGTGGTCTGTGTCTTGTGGTCAACAACTGTGGTCTGTGTCTTGTGGTCAACAACTGTGGTCTGTGTCTTTTGGTCCACTACTGTGGTCTGTGTCTTGTGGTCCACTACTGTGGTCTGTGTCTTGTGGTCCACTACTGTGGTCTGTGTCTTGTGGTCCACTACTGTGGTCTGTGTCTTGTGGTCAACAACTGTGGTATGTGTCTTGTGGTCCACTACTGTGGTTTGTGTCTTGTGGTCAACAAATGTGGTCTGTGTCTTGTGGTCAACAACTGTGGTCTGTGTCTTGTGGTCAACAACTGTGGTCTTTGTCTTCCAGCCCACAACACGACATTGGTGTGACGTCAACGTTTCGACTGGCCAGTGTGGGCTACTTCTCGACCACCGTCTTCCTTAAGCCGGGTGGGCACACATTTGAGAGTCTACAGGCCTTCCCCGTCACGGGCTGGGGCAAAACTTACTTCGCTTTTACTTTTATGTAAGTCTTGTGGTACCTTGATGTGGTCCCTCGATGTGGTCTCTTGATGTGGTCTCTTGATGTGGGCCCTTGATGTGGTCCCTCGATGTGGTCTCTTGATGTGGTCTCTTGATGTGGTCTCTTGATGTGGGAAGGTTGGTCGGGTTCGATTTTTTGTTGTGGTCCCATGATGAGGTCCCTCGATGTGGGCCGTTGATGTGGTCTCTTGATGTGAACCCTTGATGTGAACCCTTGATGTGAACCCTTGATGTGGTCCATTGATGTGGTCCATTGATGTGAACCCTTGATGTGGTCCATTGATGTGAACCCTAGATGTGGTCTGTGTCTTGTGGTCCCTTGATGTGGTCCCTTGATGTGAACCCTTGATGTGAACCCCTGATGTGAACCCTTGATGTGGTCCATTGATGTGGTCCCTTGATGTGAACCCTTGATGTGGTCCATTGATGTGGTCCCTTGATGTGAACCCTTGATGTGGTCCCTTGATGTGGTCCCTTGATATGGAGCATAATGTTGTCCCTTGGTGCGATTCTTTAATGCGGGCCTTGATGTGGTCTGTTGATGTGGTCTGTTGATGTGGTCCCTTGATTTGGTCATTTAATGTGTGCCTTGTGGTGGCCCCTTGATGTGGTCCGTTGAGCTAATTACTTTATTTAAAGAGGTCCCTTAATGTTTGTCTTTATGTGGTGGTCCATCAATGTGGTCCCTTTAAAATGATAACGTTATGTGGTCCCCTGATGTGAACCATTGATAATGGTCTTAATGTGGTCCCTTAACTTGATAACTTGGTGTAAGCCTTGGTTCTATGTATATGATATCTTCTATGTTTGTGGTATTTGATATAAATGTCCTTAATATAAATCATTCCAGACTTCTCCTTACCTACCCCACCCACAAACATCCCAGCTACCATATTCTACCTACCTCATCCCCAAACATCTTTCTTACCCCTCCCCCCACAAATATCCTACTTCCCCCACCCCTAACTTCCTACCTACCACTCCTCAACATAGGCCTATTTCTTACCCCTCCCCCAAATTATCCTCCCTAAACACCCTACCCTACCCCACAAAACGAAGTGTTTCCCCACCCTATGCCCTTATTTCAAATTTGACACGACACAGTAATTCCCTATTGAAACACTTTACATTCGACATCCTAACTTAACCTCTCTACCATAGAACGTAACCAATTTCCCATTCAACTAACTACGACATCCTAACTTAACCTAACTTAACCTAACTTAACCTAACCTAACTTAACCTAACTTAACCTAACTTAACCTAACTTAACCTAACTTAACCTAACTTAACCTAACATAACCTAACTTAACCTAACTTAACCTAACATAACCTAACTTAACCTAACTTAACCTAACTTAACCTAACTTAACCTAACTTAACCTAACTTAACCTTACTTAACCACTCTACCCAATCAACTTAACCTCTCTATCTATTAATGTAACCAATTCCCTATTCAACTAACTACGACATCCTAACTTAACCTAACTTAACCTAACTTAACCTAACTTAACCTAACTTAACCTAACTTAACCTAACTTAACCTAACTTTACCTAACTTTACCTAACTTAACCTAACTTAACCTTACTTAACCTAACTTAACCTAACTTAACCTAACTTAACTTAACCTAACTTAACCTAACTCAACCTAACTTAACCTAATTTAACCTAACTTAACCTAACTTAACCTATCTACCCAATCAACTTAACCAGCAAGAGGTCGAGCATCAACATCGTGACTGAGCTGGGCCCGAATGAAATCTCAATACAGTTCAAATTCATAAACGGGACACTTGTATATGAAGACGAGACGCTGACGTCAGGAAGCACGTTAAGGCGCACATTACAAGCGTGAGTACTTTTTTTTTTGGCACTGCATGAGCTCAGCGTTTTCAAGTCGGTAAAGCTCATGATTGATAAACTGAAAAGTCTCGAGTTCGAACCCTCGGGCAGATAAGGCTCAATAACTAGGGATATCAACTCTTCTAGGAGAGACAACTCCAAACTCAAACAACAACTGCCTTGTAGTTTGATTTGGTTAAGCAAATCCATACATAAAAACGTTTATAATTACAAGCTTTTATAAATGCACTAAAAAGAAGAAGATAATACAATTTTTATTAAATATAAAATGATTTTTAAAAATATAATAATTCTGCGGTTACTTTAAATATAAAACAAATTACTTTCTTTAAATATATTTCTGCACTACTATTGATATCACTATAAATAAAAGCGTGGGCTGCTTGTTTAAACCTGAACATAGTGTTGATCGCATGTCACACATGTATGTGGAGATCATTAAAACAATTAAACTCTACGTCCTCTGTTTCGTGTGTTATGGACTCGAACGGTCAAATATGTTTATTTGATCTAAAGTGACTTTTATAAATGACGTCATCGATAACGTTTTGTGACGTAGTAAAAGCATGTCTAATGCTATACTTTACACCTGACGATCAATGTGTTTACCTGTCCAATGCTATACTCAGGGGCGTAGCGAGGGGGGGCGGGGGGTGCGGACCGCACCGGGTGACACCATTTAGGGGGGTGACACCAAGGCAAAAAATAGCAAAATATATAGAGTAAAACTTGAGGGGGGGGGGTGCAAATCGAAAGTTTAGAGGGGGGGGGGGCTGCAAACCAAAAACTTGAGGGGGAGGGGTGCAAAACGAAAGTTTGATGGGGGGTGCAAATCGAAAATTTGAAAGTTTGTCCCCGGGAAGGGTCGCTACGCCTCTGGGGGGTGACACCATTAAGTGCCGCACCGGGTGACACCCGACCTCGCTACGCCACTGGCTATACTTTACACCTGACGATCAATGTGTTTACCTTACCAACAGGTATCAAGGCTTCGTCATGTCCTGGTGTTCAAGCAGTACCAAGGAAAACGAGCTGACAGGTTAGTCATTCGGTTCATTTGGTGCGGTATTTTTTAGTTCTTTAAATTATACGCCACTGATTGGTTTTATCTTATTTTATTCCACACGTATATCTATTTGATTAGTTGGCTGATTTTCGTAGAGTGGTAAGCGGGTTGTTTATAGACTTTTGTGCTGGTTGTCGATAAAGTGATAGCCTGGTTATGTATTAACTGTATTGGTTGGCTGTTTCTTTATAGAATGGTGAACTGGTTGTCTACATACTGTTGGCTGGCTGGCTATAGAATGGTTGGCAGGATGAACCCCTCTCTTTAATGTTGAAACCATACCTTCAAGCTTGAATCACTACCTTTATGGTTGAACATATACCTTTATGGTTGAACCCCTACGTTTATGGTTGAACATATACCTTTGAGGTTGAACCCTTACCTTCAAAGTTGAACCCCTACCTGGTAGCACCCTTACCTTTAAGGTTAAAAATCTACCTTTAAGATAGCACCCCTACCTTTATGGTTGAACATATACCTTTGAGGTTGAACCCCTACCTTTAAGGGTAAACCTCTACCTTAAAGGGTAAACATCTACCATCAAGGTTGACCCCCTACCTTTAAGAACAATCCTAGCCGCCTACCCCCCAATATAAAGCACACAACCGCCAACCCCCCAATATAAACCACACAACCGCCAACCCCCCAATATAAACCACACAACCGCCAACCCCCCAATATAAACCACACAACCGCCAACCCCCCAATATAAACCACACAACCGCCAACCCCCCAATATAAACCACACAACCGCCAACCCCCCAATATAAACCACACAACCGCCAACCCCCCAATATAAACCACACAACCGCCAACGCCCCAATATAAACCACACAACCGCCAACCCCCCAATATAAACCACACAACCGCCAACCCCCCAATATAAACCACACAACCGCCAACCCCCCAATATAAACCACACAACCGCCAACCCCCCAATATAAACCACACAACCGCCAACCCCCCAATATAAACCACACAACCGCCAACCCCCCAATATAAACCACACAACCGCCAACCCCCCAATATAAACCACACAACCGCCAACCCCCTAATGTAAAGCACACAACCGCCAACCCCCCAATATAAACCACACAACCGCCAACCCCCCAATATAAACCACACAACCGCCAACCCCCTAATGTAAAGCACACAACCGCCAACCCCCCAATATAAACCACACAACCGCCAACCCCCTAATGTTAAGCACACAACCGCCAACCCCCCAATATAAACCACACAACCGCCAACCCCCTAATGTAAAGCACACAACCGCCAACCCCCTAATATAAACCACACAACAGCCAACCCCCCAATATAAACCACACAACCCCCCCAATATAAACCACACAACCGCCAACCACTCAATGTAAACCACACAACCGCCAACCCCCCAATATAAACCACACTACCGCCAACCCCCCAATGTAAACCACACAACCGCCAACCCCCCAATATAAAGCACACAACAGCCAACCCCCCAATATAAACCACACAACCCCCCCAATATAAACCACACAACCGCCAACCACTCAATGTAAACCACACAACCGCCAACCACTCAATGTAAACCACACAACCGCCAACCACTCAATGTAAACCACACAACCGCCAACCCCCCAATATAAACCACACTACCGCCAACCCCCCAATGTAAACCACACAACCGCCAACCCCCCAATGTAAAGCACACAACCGCCAACCCCCCAATGTAAACCACACAACCGCCAACCCCCCAATATAAAGCACACAACAGCCAACCCCCCCAATATAAACCACACCACCGCATGTTGCAGGTACGAAGATCTCTGGTCACCACAACATAGGGGTGATCACTGGCAGTTGTGACGACTCCACCCATATGATCATCTGTGAGCCCGAGGACGAGGGGGCCAGGGAGACGGATAAACTAGGCACGGCCAACGTCTTGTCTGGTAAGGCTGTGGTCAATACAGGGTTTCTTTCAGGCATTTCTTAGGGGGGGGGGGGCAAGTACAGGGTTTCTTTCAGGCATCTCTTAGTGGGGGGGTCAAGTACAGGGTTTCTTTCAGGCATCTCTTAGGGGGGGGGGTCAAGTACAGAGTTTCTTTCAGGCATCTCTTAGGGGGGGGGTCAAGTACAGAGTTTCTTCCAGGCATTTCTTAGGGGGGGTCAAGTACAGAGTTTCTTTCAGGCTTCTCTTAGTGGGGGGGTCAAGTACAGGGTTTCTTTCAGGCATCTCTTAGGGGGGGGGGGGGGTCAAGTACAGAGTTTCTTTCAGGCATCTCTTAGGGGGGGGGGTCAAGTACAGGGTTTCTTTCAGGCATCTCTTAGGGGGGGGGGGTCAAGTACAGGGTTTCTTTCAGGCATCTCTTAGGGGGGGGGGGGTGGGTCAAGTACAGAGTTTCTTTCAGGCATTTCTTAGGGGGGGGGGGTCAAGTACCGAGTTTCTTTCAGGCATCTCTTAGTGGGGGGGTCAAGTACAGGGTTTCTTTCAGGCATCTCTTAGGGGGGGGGTCAAGTACAGAGTTTCTTTTAGGCATCTCTTAGGGGGGGGGGTGGGTCAAGTACAGAGTTTCTTTCAGGCATTTCTTAGGGGGGGGGGGGTCAAGTACCGAGTTTCTTTCAGGCATCTCTTAGTGGGGGGGTCAAGTACAGGGTTTCTTTCAGGCATCTCTTAGGGGGGGGGTCAAGTACAGAGTTTCTTTTAGGCATCTCTTAGGGGGGGGGGTCAAGTACAGAGTTTCTTCCAGGCATTTCTTAGGGGGGGTTAAGTACAGAGTTTCTTTCAGGCTTCTCTTAGTGGAGGGGTCAAGTACAGGGTTTCTTTCAGGCATCTCTTAGGGGGGGGGGTCAAGTACAGAGTTTCTTTCAGGCATCTCTTAGGGGGGGGGGGGTCAAGTACAGAGTTTCTTCCAGGCATTTCTTTGGGGGGGGGGTCAAGTACAGAGTTTCTTTCAGGCATCTCTTAGTGGGGGGGTCAAGTACAGGGTTTCTTTCAGGCATCTCTTAGGGGGGGGGGGGTCAAGTACAGAGTTTCTTTCAGGCATCTCTTAGGGGGGGGGGTCAAGTACAGAGTTTCTTCCAGGCATTTCTTTGGGGGGGGGTCAAGTACAGAGTTTCTTTCAGGCATCTCTTAGTGGGGGGGTCAAGTACAGGGTTTCTTTCAGGCATCTCTTAGGGGGGGGGGTCAAGTACAGAGTTTCTTTCAGGCATCTCTTAGGGGGGGGGTCAAGTACAGAGTTTCTTCCAGGCATTTCTTAGGGGGGGTCAAGTACAGAGTTTCTTTCAGGCTTCTCTTAGGGGGGGGGGGTGTCAAGTACAGGGTTTCTTTCAGGCAATTCTTGGGGTGAGGGTGCAGCAAGTAAAGAGTTTCTTTCAGGCATCTCTTAGCGGGGGGGGGGGTCAAGTACAGAGTTTCTTTCAGGCATCTCTTAGGGGGGGGGGTCATTACAGAGTTTCTTTCAGGCATCTCTTAGGGGGGGGGGTCAAGTACAGAGCTTCTTTCAGGCATCTCTTAGGGGGGGGGGGTCAAGTACAGGGTTTCTTTCAGGCATCTCTTAGGGGGGGGGTCAAGTACAGTGTTTCTTTCAGGCTTCTCTTAGGGGGGGGGGCAAGTACAGAGTTTCTTTCAGGCATCTCTTAGGGGGGGGGGGGGGGGTCAAGTACAGAGTTTCTTTCAGGCATCTCTTAACGGGGGGGTCAAGTACAGAGCTTCTTTCAGGCATCTCTTAGGGGGGGGGGGGGTCAAGTACAGGGTTTCTTTTAGGCTTCTCTTAGGGGGGGGGGTCAAGTACAGTGTTTCTTTCAGGCTTCTCTTAGGGGGGGGGGGGGGGGCAAGTACAGAGTTTCTTTCAGGCATCTCTTAGGGGGGGGGGGGGTCAAGTACAGAGTTTCTTTCAGGCATCTCTTAGGGGGGGGTCAAGTACAGAGCTTCTTTCAGGCATCTCTTAGGGGGGGGGGGGGTCAAGTACAGGGTTTCTTTTAGGCTTCTCTTAGGGGGGGGGGTCAAGTACAGGGTTTCTTTCAGGCATCTCTTAGGGGGGGGGGGGTCAAGTACAGTGTTTCTTTCAGGCTTCTCTTAGGGGGGGGGGGCAAGTACAGAGTTTCTTTCAGGCATCTCTTAGGGGGGGGGGTCAAGTACAGAGTTTCTTTCAGGCATTTCTTAGGGGGGGGGTCAAGTACAGAGCTTCTTTCAGGCATCTCTTAAGGGGGGGGGGCAAGTACAGGGTTTCTTATAGGCATCTTTTAGGGGGGGTCAAGTACAGAGTTTCTTTCAGGCGTCTCTTAGGGGGGGGGGTCAAGTACAGGGTTTCTTTCAGGCATCTCTTAGGGGGGGGGGGCAAGTACAGAGTTTCTTTCAGGCATCTCTTACTGGGGGGGTCAAGTACAGGGTTTCTTTTAGGCTTCTCTTAGGGGGGGTCAAGTACAGGGTTTCTTTCAGGCATCTCTTAGGGGGGGGGGGTCAAGTACAGTGTTTCTTTCAGGCTTCTCTTAGGGGGGGGGGGGGGCAAGTACAGAGTTTCTTTCAGGCATCTCTTAGGGGGGGGGTCAAGTACAGAGTTTCTTTCAGGCATTTCTTAGGGGGGGGTCAAGTACAGGGTTTCTTTCAGGCATCTCTTAAGGGGGGGGGTCAAGTACAGAGTTTCTTTCAGGCATTTCTTTGGGGGGGGGGGTCAAGTACAGGGTTTCTTATAGGCATCTCTTAGGGGGGGGGCAAGTACAGAATTTCTTTCAGGCATCTCTTACGGGGGGGGGGGTCAAGTACAGGGTTTCTTTTAGGCTTCTCTTAGGGGGGGTCAAGTACAGGGTTTCTTTCAGGCATCTCTTAGGGGGGGGGGTCAAGTACAGTGTTCCTTTCAGGCTTCTCTTAGGGGGGGGGGGCAAGTACAGAGTTTCTTTCAGGCATCTCTTAGGGGGGGGGTCAAGTACAGAGTTTCTTTCAGGCATTTCTTAGGGGGGGGGGTCAAGTACAGGGTTTCTTTCAGGCATCTCTTAAGGGGGGGGGGTCAAGTACAGAGTTTCTTTCAGGCTTCTCTTAGTGGGGGGGTCAAGTACAGGGTTTCTTTCAGGCATCTCTTAGGGGGGGGGTCAAGTACAGAGTTTCTTTCAGGCATCTCTTAGGGGGGGGTGTCAAGTACAGTGTTTCTTACAGGCATCTCTTAGGGGGGGGGTCAAGTACAGAGTTTCTTTCAGGCATAAGGCCGGCAGTGGCCAAGTACAGAGTTTCTTTCAGGCATAAGGCCGGCTGTGGTCAAGTACAGAGTTTCTTTCAGGCATAAGGCCGGCTGTGGTCAAGTACAGAGTTTCTTTCAGGCATTTCTTGTGGGGGGGGTCAAGTACAGGGTTTCTTTCAGGCATCTCTTTGGGGGGGGTCAAGTACAGGGTTTCTTTCAGGCATCTCTTAGGGGTGGGGGGGGTCAAGTACAGGGTTTCTTCCAGGCATCTTTTAAGGGGGGGGGGGGTCAAGTACAGGGTTTCTTCCAGGCATCTTTTAAGGGGGGGGGGGCTACGCTCAAATAAGGTCCACCAGCCCCCAAGAGCAAAAAAGAATTTATATAGAGAATATATACTTTTACCAGTGTCTACCTCCTCCCCCCCCCCCCGCGGAAATTTTAGTCCTCCCTCCCTCCCCGAAACTTTTAAGTGCCCCCCAACCCGGAAAAAAAAGTCTGGAACAAACATTGGTCAAGTGAAGTTTGCAACGTAGGTGACAGGTGAGGTGCACAAGTGCACATGCAGCATGTATTCGATTGTACGATTAACACATGGTCGAGGTACACATTATGCATACATCAAGTAGACATGTACCAAGTACACACTTACCAAGTAGACATGTACCAAGTACACACTTGCCAAATAGACATGTACCAAGTACACACTTTCCTAGTAGACATGTACCAATTACACAATTACCATTCGGACATATACCTAGTACACTTTTATATACATACTTATATATATATATATATATATATATATATATATATATATATATATATATATATATATATATATATATATTCTTACGTAGAATCTACTCCACTATATTTACCTAAGCCCGTGATTCCGACTTTCAGCTGTCGCACATTGTAATGTTCCCCTCTCAGACATAATGATCCATTGGGCATATGAGATATGAGATACAGTACTTCAGCTCTGTATATAACTTGATGCTGTGATCAGCACAATGTCCAGTCGCCTTTACATTTCCATAACGTTGGTTACTTAGCAATTTCACATGTACCACATACACCGATTGCACATACGCATATTTCATATGTACCGATTGCACATAAATATATAGCATATGTACCGATTGGACATACATAATTGCATATGTTCCAGTTACATATACAGATATTGCATATGTACCTATTGCACATACACATTTTGCATATGTACCAACTGCACATACACATATTGCATATCTATCAATTGCACATAAATATAATGCATATGTATCAATTTACATATTCCACTTACAGAGCTACGAATTGCAGTACACCAATTACTGATATACCCATCACAAATTCACCTTTTACACTTTTATCTCTTACAGACTTACCAACTACACATTTACCCGTTACAAATGAATGAACAAATGAATACCACGCACACATGTATTACATATGTGTATACGAAATCTACACTTACGAAGTACATATGAAGCTTGTAACTGACATACACATGTACACAAATCACAATGTATTTCTCCCCAGAAATGCTGCCACCGCTTGAAGCATACGGCAAAGAGTTTATGACCCTGATGTTGACGGGACGGAGAGTGTACGGCAAGTTTGTGGTCGTAGCGTCAGAGGACAACACGCAAGTCTTGGTCCACACAGGGAAAAACACGCCAGAGAACAGAACTCTACAGGCGGGGGAGAGGTTCTATGTAAGACGTCATCACCTGTGTGACATGGTCAATCACATCACCTGTTTCACATGGTCAACCACATCAACTGTGTTACATGGTCAACCACATCAACTGTGTTACATGATCCACCACATCACCTACAACTGTGTTACATGATCCACCACATCACCTGTGTTACATGATCCACCACATCACATGTGTTACATGATCCACCACATCACCTACAACTGTGTTACATGATCCACCACATCACCTGTGTTACATGATCCACCACATCACCTGTGTTACATGATCCACCACATCAACTGTGTTACATAATCCACCACATCAACTGTGTTACATGATCCACCACATCACCTACAACTGTGTTACATGATCCACCACATCAACTGTGTTACATGGTCAACCACATCAACTAATGTTATATGATCCACCACATCGACTGTGTTAAAATTATCCACCACATCATCGGAAATTTCATCTACATTTCATTTATATGTTCTTATCCTATTACGTGACTAGCTGTCTACCCCCTCCCGCCCCGACCACTTACGCCTGTACCTGCGACACAACTTATTCTACAGCATGTTGATATCAGAGCACATTAAAATCCCAAAAGTATTTTTTTTTATTTTCGTGACGCTAAAGAGCTTTTTTTGATAACAAAACAACAGCCCATTTTTTAGCCCCAAACGTATTTTTGTTTTCGTGGCGCTAATTAGCTTTACCTGATAACAAAACTAAAGCCCATATTAGTACCAAACGTATTTTTGTTTTTGTGACAGTAAAAAGCTTTACTTGATAACGTATTTTTCTCTACTAACGTTGTTTTTGTGACAGTAAATAGCTTTACCTGATAACGTATTTGTCTCTGCTAGCGTTGTTTTTGTGACAGTAAATAGCTTTACCTGATAACGTATTTTTCTCTGCTAGCGTTGTTTTTGTTACAGTAAACAGCTTTACCTGACAACGTATTTTTCTCTGCTAGCGTTGTTTTTGTGACAGTAAATAGCTTTACTTGATAACGTATTTTTCTCAGATAGCGTTGTTTTTGTGACAGTAAATAGCTTTACCTGATAACGTATTTTTCTCTGCTAGCGTTGTTTTTGTGACAGTAAATAGCTTTCCCTGATAACGTATTTTTCTCTGCTAGCGTTGTTTTTGTGACAGTAAATACCTTTACCTGATAACGTATTTTTCTTTACTAGCGTTGTTTTTGTGACAGTAAATACCTTTACCTGATAACGTATTTTTCTCTGCTAGCGTTGTTTTTTGACGGTAAATACCTTTAACTGATAACGTATTTTTCTCTGCTAGCGTTGTTTTTGTGACGGTAAATACCTTTAACTGATAATGTATTTTTCTCTACTAGCGTTGTTTTTGTGACAGTAAATATCTTTACCTGATAACGTATTTTTCTCTACTATCGTTGTTTTTGTGACAGTAAATAGCTTTACCTGATAACGTATTTTTTTCTGCTAGCGTTGTTTTTGTGACAGTAAATACCTTTACCTGATAACGTATTTTTCTCTACTAGCGTTGTTTTTGTGACAGTAAATACTTTTACCTGATAATGTATTTTTCTCTGCTAGCGTTGTTTTTGTGACGGTAAATACCTTTAACTGATAACGTATTTTTCTCTGCTAGCGTTGTTTTTGTGACAGTAAACAGCTTTACCTGATAACGTATTTTTCTCTACTAGCGTTGTTTTTGTGACAGTAAATAGCTTTACCTGATAACGTATTTATCTCTGCTAGCGTTGTTTTTGTGACAGTAAATAGCTTTACTTGATAACGTATTTTTCTCTACTAACGTTGTTTTTGTGACAGTAAATAGCTTTACCTGACAACGTATTTTTCCTGCTAGCGTTATTTTTGTGACAGTAAATAGCTTTACGTGATAACGTATTTATCTCTACTAACGTTGTTTTTGTTACAGTAAAAAGTTTTACCTGATAACGTATTTTTCTCTGCTAGCGTGACGCCAAAGAGCCCTACTACATCCGCAGCACGAAGGCCATCCTTGTGATCTACATCCAGATGTCGGCGTGTGTCCTCCTAAACATCGCCCTCACACAGGATGAATCAGGGGACCCCGCCATGTGTGTCCTGGTCCCAATGCAGCTGTTCTACGACACGTATGTCTGGAGGTAAGACGTCTGGAAGGCAGGTGTTTATGTGGGGAGTACTCACAGTTTACGTGTGTGAATATACACGTGTTTAGGCGCGCTTTTTGAAGTGCTTTAGACGAAAACTAAACAGAAGAAATGGCAGGTTGAATAATATTAACAAGACCCATGAAACAGAAGTAGAAGTTACACTTACATCAGTAGATTGGGTGCTGCTGTTCAACCGTGTGATTATTTCTTTATGAAAATATCAGAATTTACATAATCTTATAATGTAACGCTACTAAGGCATACCTAACTCATGTGAGGCAAATAAAGGCAATTGGGCAAAATCGCTGACTTACAAACATTACTTAATCAGCTTAATGGATCGCTAGGTCTAAAAAAAAAAGTATATATATATATATATATATATATGTATATATATATATATATATATATATATATATATATATGAGTGTGTGTGTATATATATATATATATATATATATATATATATATATATATATATATATATATATATATATATATATATATATATCTATATATATAAAGCAAAGTGGTCGGGTGCCCGATAGGGCACTTCCCGGCGCCGCAGGCGCGTCAAATTTGGCACGATGGTGCCTTGGGGCGATAGAACACGAGGGCCGGTGACGGTTGGCCGAAAAGTCTACGGAGAGGGGGTCAAAACTGACCTCGACTGACCGGCGCCTTATATGGGCTATATTAAGAAAAAAAAATTCCTCCGACGACCCCCCTTGAAATTTTGTGAGGTGGTAGGAGAACACCTTGGGGTGTCACAAAAAACTCGGCATATCTGGGAAAACTTCGTAAAGGGGTCAAAACTGACCAGTTGTATTTCCCTATATAATCTTTGTATTTTATGGGAAAAACAGAGGGTCATTTCAACGCAGACTTTAGGGTACTTAAGCTCAGTATATCTGGCTAATTTTTTGCATGCTCTTAGGTCAATGGCTTGACCTTTAGGGAAAACTGTCGGTTACACTCAAAGCCCTCGACGAGGGCTAAAAAGTGACCGCGAGTGAAATTCTCTTTATATGAGCTCTATTACGAAAAAAAAATTCCTCCGACGACCCCCCTTGAAATTTTGTGAGGTGGTAGGAGAACACCTTGGGGTGTCACAAAAAACTCGGCATATCTGGGAAAACTTCGTAAAGGGGTCAAAACTGACCAGTTGTATTTCCCTATATAATCTTTGTATTTTATGGGAAAAACAGAGGGTCATTTCAACGCAGACTTTAGGGTACTTAAGCTCAGTATATCTGGCTAATTTTTTGCATGCTCTTAGGTCAATGGCTTGACCTTTAGGGAAAACTGTCGGTTACACTCAAAGCCCTCGACGAGGGCTAAAAAGTGACCGCGAGTGAAATTCTCTTTATATGAGCTCTATTACGAAAAAAAAATTCCTCCGACGACCCCCCTTGAAATTTTGTGAGGTGGTAGGAGAACACCTTGGGGTGTCACAAAAAACTCGGCATATCTGGGAAAACTTCGTAAAGGGGTCAAAACTGACCAGTTGTATTTCCCTATATAATCTTTGTATTTTATGGGAAAAACAGAGGGTCATTTCAACGCAGACTTTAGGATACTTAAACTCAGTATATCTGGCTAATTTTTTGCATGCTCCTAGGTCAATGGCTTGACCTTTAGGGAAAACTGTCGGTTACACTCAAAGCCCTCGACGAGGGCTAAAAAGTGACCGCGAGTGAAATTCTCTTTATATGAGCTCTATTACGAAAAAAAAATTCCTCCGACGACCCCCCTTGATATTTTGTGAGGTGGTAGGAGAACGCCTTGGGGTGTCACAAAAAACTCGCCATGTCCGGGAAAAATCGGGAAATGGGTCAAAACTGACCAGTTGTATTTCCCTATATAATCTTTGTATTTTATGGGAAAAACAGAGAGTCATTTCAACGCAGACTTTAGGATACTTAAGCTCAGTATATCTGGCTAATTTTTTGCATGCTCCTAGGTCAATGGCTTGAACTTTAGGGAAAACTGTCGGTTACACTCAAAGCCCTCGACGAGGGCTAAATAGTGACCGCGAGTGAAATTCTCTTTATATGAGCTCTATTACGAAAAAAAAATTCCTCCGACGACCCCCCTTGATATTTTGTGAGGTGGTAGGAGAACGCCTTGGGGTGTCACAAAAAACTCGCCATGTCCGGGAAAAATCGGGAAATGGGTCAAAACTGACCAGTCGTATTTCCCTATATAATCTTTGTATTTTATGGGAAAAACAGAGGGTCATTTCAACGCAGACTTTAGGATACTTAAACTCAGTATATCTGGCTAATTTTTTGCATGCTCCTAGGTCAATGGCTTGACCTTTAGGGAAAACTGTCGGTTACACTCAAAGCCCTCGACGAGGGCTAAAAAGTGACCGCGAGTGAAATTCTCTTTATATGAGCTCTATTACGAAAAAAAAATTCCTCCGACGACCCCCCTTGATATTTTGTGAGGTGGTAGGAGAACGCCTTGGGGTGTCACAAAAAACTCGCCATGTCCGGGAAAAATCGGGAAATGGGTCAAAACTGACCAGTTGTATTTCCCTATATAATCTTTGTATTTTATGGGAAAAACAGAGGGTCATTTCAACGCAGACTTTAGGATACTTAAGCTCAGTATATCTGGCTAATTTTTTGCATGCTCCTAGGTCAATGGCTTGAAATTTAGGGAAAACTGTCGGTTACACTCAAAGCCCTCGACGAGGGCTAAAAAGTGACCGCGAGTGAAATTCTCTTTATATGAGCTCTATTACGAAAAAAAAATTCCTCCGACGACCCCCCTTGATATTTTGTGAGGTGGTAGGAGAACGCCTTGGGGTGTCACAAAAAACTCGCCATGTCCGGGAAAAATCGGGAAATGGGTCAAAACTGACCAGTCGTATTTCCCTATATAATCTTTGTATTTTATGGGGAAAACAGAGGGTCATTTCAAAACGGATTTTAGAGCACTTACCCTATTTACATCTGGCTAAGTTTTGGCATGCTTATAGGTAAATGGCTTGGCCGTAGGGCGTACCTGTCGGTTTGACTCAAAGCACTCGACGAGGGCTAAAAAGTGACCGCGAGTGAAATTCTCTTCATATGAGCTCTATTACGAAAAAAAATTTCCTCCGACGACCCCCCTTGAAATTTTGTGAGGTGGTAGGAGAACACCTTGGGGTGTCATAAAAAACTCGCCATGTCCGGGAAAAATCGGGAAATGGGTCAAAACTGACCAGTCGTATTTCCCTATATAATCTTTGTATTTTATGGGAAAAACAGAGGGTCATTTCAAAACGGATTTTAGGGCACTTACCCTGTTTACATCTGGCTAATTTTTGGCATGTTTATAGGTAAATGGCTTGACCGTAGGACAGACCTGTCGGTCTTACTCAAAGCCCTCGACGAGGGCTAAAAAGTGACCGCGAGTGAAATTCTCTTTATATGAGCTCTATTACGAAAAAAAATTTCCTCCGACGACCCCCCTTGATATTTTGTGAGGTGGTAGGAGAACGCCTTGGGGTGTCACAAAAAACTCGCCATGTCCGGGAAAAATCGGGAAATGGGTCAAAACTGACCAGTCGTATTTCCCTATATAATCTTTGTATTTTATGGGAAAAACGGAGGGTCATTTCAAAACGGATTTTAGGGCACTTACCCTCTTTACATCTGGCTAATTTTTGGCATGTTTATAGGAAAATGGCTTGACCGTAGGGCAGACCTGTCGGTCTCACTCAAAGCCCTCGACGAGGGCTAAAAAGTGACCGCGAGTGAAATTCTCTTTATATGAGCTCTATTACGAAAAAAAATTTCCTCCGACGACCCCCCTTGATATTTTGTGAGGTGGTAGAAGAAAACCTAGGGGTTTCATAAAAAACTCGGCAATTCTGGGAAAACTTCGTAAAGCGGTCAAAACTGACCAGTTGTATTTCCCTATATAATCTTTGTATTTTATGGGAAAAACAGGGAAATTTTAACACAATTTTTAGGTTACTTAATGTCTGTACATCATGCTAAGTTTTTGCATACACTACTATAGATGACTAGGCCGTATGGAAAAACTGTTGGTCAGACTCAAAGCCCTCGACGAGGGCTAAAAGATGATCTTGAGTGAAATTCTCCTTATATGAGATATATATATATAAATAAATTGACGAACGATCCCCTTAATATTATGTGACGTCGTAGACCGACCATGGAGGGTAACAAAAAAACTTTATTCCCGTCGGAAACAGCCATTATAGTCGTTAAATAAGTTCATATAACGTAATTTCTTATATAAGCAAACAATATAAGTAAACAATGACATACGTCACACGTTCAGTTTTCAAGGGAGGTAACGTTTTTAAAATTATTATTTTTCAAATAATTGTATACTATTTTAAACAGAAACAGAAAATGACGAAGTATAGCATTTGTTTTAGTACAAAATTAAGTTGTTAATTTAGTTAAGTATGATAATTAAGTTAATTAATTAATTTCAAAAGGCAATGTAATATAAACTATGAGATATACTGTTCATGAAACCTGTGTAGTTCTAATTCCATTTTAGTTATAGATTGCGTACTTTCCAAAAATTCGCTACGCATCTGCATGTAAATGACTAACAAAAACATTTTTTCTAAAGTTAGCATTACTGTTTAAATTAATATTAAACTTATTAAAGCACTCCACACCCAATCCATCGCTAAATAATTAAGTATTCAAATTCTCAAATGCCTTTTAAAAACCTAAGCGAAGCTAGGCAGTATGCCTAGTATATATATATTATGTTGATCGCACCAACACATGGGTACATGGTGCGTGTTCTCTACTACTGACTTCTAACGTATTGTATTCCATCTGACAGCGCGCCGACCTTGCCCACAAACAACAACTTTATCGCCATCAACATCAAGTTTGTCTTCGTCACCCACCTCAGGCTGAACGAGAGAGGTTTGAGTCCCGGGTAAGTTAGGGATTGAGTCCCGGGTAAGTCAGGGATTGAGTCCCGGGTAAGTTAGGGATTGAGTCCCGGGTAAGTCAGGGATTGAGTCCCGGGTAAGTCAGGGATTGAGTCCCGGGTAAGTCAGGGATTGAGTCCCGGGTAAGTCAGGGATTGAGTCCCGGGTAAGTCAGGGATTGAGTCCCGGGTAAGTCAGGGATTGAGTCCCGGGTAAGTCAGGGATTGAGTCCCGGGTAAGTCAGGGATTGAGTCCCGGGTAAGTCAGGGATTGAGTCCCGGGTAAGTCAGGGATTGAGTCCCGGGTAAGTCAGGGATTGAGTCCCGGGTAAGTCAGGGATTGAGTCCCGGGTAAGTTAGGGATTGAGTCCCGGGTAAGTCAGGGCTCTTTAAGTCACAGAGCCTTCAGTCAACCCAACCCTAAATCAACCCAACCGTCAATCGCCTAAACCCTAAATAAACTCATTCCTAAATTGCCCCAACCCTCAATTGCCCCAACCCTTAATCGCTCCCAACCCTCAATCGCCAACAATATTTCCCCCGAACCCTCTAATGCGCCAACCGTTAATCCTTCAAACTCTCTGTCTCAACGCTATGTCACGCCAACTCTTTATTGATCTAACCATCAATCAGTCCATCCCTCTACCACTCCAACCATCAATTACCATACCGCTTTGATGCCACAAGCCACTATCGCCCAAACACTAGCAAAATTTTCATATTTGTAATTTCGTAATATCCTAGTAACAAACCTTCACCCAATATACCCTAACCCTAGTAACAAACCTTCACCCAATATACCCTAACCCTAGTAACAAACCTTCACCCAATATACCCTAACCCTAGTAACAAACCTTCACCCAATATACCCTAACCCTAGTAACAAACCTTCACCCAATATACCTTAAACCTAGTAACAAAACTTCACACAGTATACCCGAATGCATTGAACCCTATTGGTTTGTGAGTCGTCTCAGGGGTTTGGTGGAGGTCAAGACACACACCTAACTCAGTTGAATCGTTCCATCTTCCACACTTTTCTCTTCTTAACTAATCATTAATCCAGCAAGCCAGACGATACTAAAGAACGGAAAACTGTACGTTATGAGGACTGATATCACTTGCATTTTAACCCGTGTTTCTTTCAGGCATATCTCCTTTTGTAAGGGGATGGGTCGGAAATACTTTTGTCCGTCCTACAATACGTTCATATTTTATCCGCCCCCCCCCCCACCCGATTTCATTCAGACATCTATTCGGTTGGGGGAGGGGGGGCACATTTCTTTCCCTCCTCCCCCCCCCCCCCCCTGCAGAGGCACGTCTACCAAGCCTCATCCTCACACACACACACACACAAACACACACCCTATCCGAACAAAAATTAAATTCTATTGAAAATATATAAATTTACCAGCGTCCCCCCCCCCCCCCCCAAAAAAAAAATACCCTTCCAAGTGCCCCCCCCCCCCCAGGAGAAAAAAGTCTAAAAGAAACATTACCCGTCACCCTTTTCAAGAGTAGTTTTAGTTACTTAAACCAACTATTAACCCATTCTAACATTCCCTCCCCTATCCAGGATTGAGTGGTTTGCCGTGCAGGGCTACACAGAGTACCGTGTGGGCAGCACTCTGGTACACGCAGAACACAACGAACTCTACTCCGTCTCTGTCACCTACTTCGCTGTGTACGCCTACGGTATCGGCACGTCGTTCGCTTACATGCATCCACTGCCCTACGTCACCACACACATCAACACGGTGAGTGGGGGTGTGAGGGGAGGTTTGGGGTGGGGGTGTGGTTGGTTCGTGGTGGGGTTGTGGTTGGTTCGTGGTGGGGTTGTAGTGGGGTTGTGGTGGGATTGTGGTAGGTTTGTGGTTGGGTTTGTGGTGGGGTTTATGGTGGGGTTCGCGGTGGGGTTTGTGGTGCAATTGTAGACTCTTTTTTGTAGGTTTGTATTGATTTGGGCTTGTTTTAGGTTATGTGAGTTTGTATTAAGTTTGTAGTATAAATATTGCGGACTTGAAGTAGGTTTGTAGTTAGCTAGTGGTGGCTGGTTGTGGGTTTATAGTGCGTGCGTACTGGGATATAAGTGGTTTTGATTAGTAGTAGAGTCGCAGAATGTTTTAAGAGGGTTGCAGGGGGTTTGTAGTAGGTTTGTAGTGTAGTGTAAGTGTGTAGATTTATAACGTCTGCATGGCAATGTAACCTGCCTTATTGAATTAAAAACGTTGTATTTGTCAGAAATGTGACGTCACCACAGTTCAAGTGGGGGACTTTCTGGATAACGACTGCGATGATAAGATCGACGAGGAAACAAGAGATAACGAAGGTGTGGATAGATAATGGTTTCATCTAATCAATTATATATGTATCAATAATATATTTATATATATATATATATATATATATATATATATATATATATATATATATATATATATATATATATATATATATATATATAATTACATCGGGTGGTCCTTACATGTTGTAGAACTAATGTTGTAACATGTTATACAACTAGCGTCATTATTACATTAACTTTCTGCCGTCCTCACTAATTTCAACAGTCTATAACTTTACTCTAACAATAAAATTAAACCACGTTCTGTGGAAGCTTTACGCAATAACATGTTTCAAGAATATATTACCTATCGTGTTTTTACATAATCATATGTATCATTGGCAGAGGCGTAGCGAGGGGGGGGGGGGCGGGGGTGCGGACCGCACCGGGTGACACCATTTAGGGGGGGGGGTGACATAAGGCAATAAATAGTATATAGAGAAAAATTTGACCGGGGGGGGTGCAAATCGAAAGTTTGAGGTGGGGGGGGGGGGTGTAAATCGAAAGTTCGAGGGGGGGTGGAAATCGAAAGTTTGAGGGGGGCGGTGGAAATCAAAAGTTTGAGGGGGGCGGTGCAAACCGAAAATTGAAAGTTTGTCCCCGGGAAGAGTCGCTACGCCTCTGGGGGGGGGGGGGTGACATCATTAAGTGCCGCACCGGGTGATACCCGACCGCGCTACGCCACTGATCATTGGTATCTTACCTGTGGTGTTTCTGATTAGATAACGATAACGACGGGAGGATAGATGAGGACTTATCTAAACTCAGCAGACGTAAGTTCGGGGATTAACAAAGTGTGTATATCAAGTGTTTGTGCATTATTGTTTTGTGATAGCGCTTGTGTGTGTGAGTGCGTGTATGTGTTAGTGTTAGTGTGCGTGCGTGTGTGTGTGTGTGTGTGTGTGTGTGTGTGTGTTAGTGTTGCAGACCTGTAATCAATGCGGGTGTTTGCGTGCGCGAGTATTGTAAGGGCATGTATCACAGTGTGTTGCGATGGCCGAATGGGTAGATGTAAAATGTTTGCCTGTGTTATCGTGTTATGTGTATGCTTGTCGATTCTGTGTGTGCGTGTGCGTGTGTCTGTGTGTGCGTGTGTCTGTGTGTGCGTGTGTCTGTGTGTGCGTGTGTCTGTGTGTGCGTGTGTCTGTGTGTGCGTGTGTCTGTGTGTGCGTGTGTCTGTGTGCGTGTGTCTGTGTGTGCGTGTGTCTGTGAGTGCGTGTGTCTGTGTGTGCGTGTTTC